ATACCATCACTAGAGACACAGCCATTACCACTCTTGAGACAGTTCTCCTCACCACTCTAAAGGCACATACCATCACTAGAGACACAGCCATTACCACTCTTGAGACAGCCATTACTACTCTTGAGACACAGTTCTCCTCACCACTCTAAAGGCACATACCATCACTAGAGACACAGCCATTACCACTCTTGAGACACAGTTCTCCTCACCACTCTAAAGGCACATACCATCACTAGAGACACAGCCATTACCACTCTTGAGACAGATCTCCTCACCACTCTAAAGGCACATACCATCACTAGAGACACAGCCATTACCACTCTTGAGAGACATACCATCACTACTTCCAAGATAAACTCATTGTGTTACAGATACTGATTTTAAGACACAGCCATCACTACTTTTGAGACACACATGGCTATTACCACTTGAGACACAGCCATTACACTCTTGAGACACACAACAATCATTATTCTTGAGACATACCCATCACTAATTTCAAGACAAACTCTTTGTGAAAGAAACCAAATTTAATTCAGAAATCTCTTGTTTACCTTCTGTAGATCGTTTATCATTAAAGTCACAGAATAAAACAATTCCCATCACTACAGGGAACCAAACCACACCACTATTTTTGTAAACATATCAAGCAAAAGAACAGTACATTTTTGAGAGTGAGTGCAATAGCAACTACAAAAATGCGCCCTTTTTCAGTAGAGCAGGAAACATCTTCGTTCAGTTGTAAATATCAAAACTTCTAACGGTGGGCATTATTCTTTAAGTGTTGAAGTGTGTATGATGTAAACAAAAAATGATTAAGAATCCACATCACAGCACTGGGAACCCTCCCATAAGCGCTTCATCCCCATCTTCAGCAGCCAACAGAGTTCCAATTCCAATGGCATCAGTAACTGTCTGACTGCATATCCGTCTCACCTTTACCTTGAGTGCTGAGCGTCGGCCAGATCTCCTGGTAACTCCTTGCAGAACCATTTTTTGTCAGATTACAATGATCTATTTGTGCCTCCACTGTTCCTTCTCTGCCAAAGAATCCATATAATATCTAGCTTGTCATGTGTCAATTCACTACCAGGTGGTGCAGAACCAGCCAGTCTATCTGTCTGTTCATTTTCCAACACACTGGCATAACCTAGAGAAAACATCCAAAGGATGCTCACTACATGGGATCTCTAAAGTTATAACTTGTCACTGAGCACAGAGGATGCCTGTTCATTTTCCAACACACTGGCATAACCTAGAGAAAACATCCAAAGGATGCTCACTACATGGGATCTCTAAAGTTATAACTTGTCACTGAGCACAGAGGATGCCTGTCTCCACCTTTGTCAGCGTGCTTTCTCAACAACAACAAAATTATAATAATAATACAGCTTCCACAGAAAATAGTCCTTTAATGAAATATATTTGAACACAAATACGTCTCATTACAGTGAAGGACCATTTTCATGCTTAGGTGCATAGGGTATATAGGGCTAGATCTTTTTTTTTTTAAAATAGACCAATCAGCACTCAGTGGGTGGTGTGGTCATCATCATGCTGCCACCTTTACTTCCCATAAATTTACCTGGTACCCATTTCAGACTGGGCCAAGGTGGGAGGGAACCTTGGTTAAAAAAAAATCTGCTTTGATATGGTCCAAACCCTAGATCTTTGGGCAGAAGAGCATCTAGCCACTATGGTACAGCGATTCCCACATTTCTTTAAAAGTCACAAATTTTACAAGGAAAATTAGTAAATAAGAACCAAAAACAATGAAGTAATAATGTTGTTACACCTAAAAAAAGTAACATTTAAAAAAAAAAAACTATATAAATGCCAACTGAGTTAAAAAATAATTTTTATATTGGAAAACATTTTCAAATTACTTATACACAAAAACCAAACAGATTATAGCTGTTGTGAAAAGATGTTAACTTGTTACCGTGTGACCAACAAGTTTTAATTAATACTGAATTTAGCAACAATATTTAACCTGAAACTGCTGTCATAGAAAAATAAAGATATTACTATAAAAATCTATTTAATGACAAAGGCAAGAAAATGCAACTTATTAAAAGTCTAAGCATGCTAAAAGCTGCAGTAGAGATGTTCCTTAAAAATATGAAACAATAAATATTGCAGGCTCTGATAAGATAATAACAGAAGCAATAAAAACTAGTAAATTTTGACCGATAAAATAGCAACAGTAAGAGAAAATGGCATACAGTAGAGCTGTCAAAACTGTCTGTTGTGACACATTAGCGTGTCAGGCAGTGTGAAAATGTGTCCCGCAGACCTAAAGTGTTGAATCGAAAAATAGGCATGTTAAACTTTAACCTCTAGTTTGCAAGCAGGCTGAATTACAGTGTCGAGAAATTGTCTAAAAAGTGGGCCGATGAGTGAAAAATTATTCTGAAGTGACGGAGATATGGTTTTACAGACGGATTATAAAAACACCCTGGACAGATGAAAAGGGTAATGGAGATGTCTTGAAAGAAACTGAGAGAGAACTGACTGCCCCATTAGAAGGAGACAATCTACATTCCTTAGTCATGTCAAACAGTTTGGAAGGATTGGCAGCAGATGATACATCCTGAGGAGTATGAAAACATTCATTTATTATACAGCTTGAAAAGAATTAAACAGGGTTAACTGAACAATTCAAAACTTTTACAACTAAGACAATCCCAGTCACCTCCCCTGCCCCCAGGAACAAACAATAAAGCAGGAAAAAGTTAAAAACAAATCAACTTCTGTAAAAACAATGGAGGCATAATCTGAATAACGATAGTAAAAGTAAATCACTCTTTTTCTTTGCCTTCAGGTGTACAGGGCATAGGGGGCTAGACCTATATTTTATAGGCCAATCGGCACCGGCTGGGTGATGCAGTCGACCTGAGAGTCAATGTCATTTAAAAAAAAAAAAAAGTCGGCTCTGTCATTCTAAAGTGCCGAGAGGCATTCTGCAAACATGTCCAAACCATCTCCATCTTTTTCCTTTTAAACATTGGCCAGTGATGAACATTTAGTTTTTCTCTTAAATTCTCCACTTCTGATCTTGTTTGGCCAAAATATTCATAGGATTCTGATTAGACATTTACTTTGAAAAGTCTCAGGTTTATGTGTAATTTTTCTGTTTGTTTTCAACTCACTGGTTTTATAGTGCCATTCATAAAATGTTGCATCCGTGTAATCTGAGTTTTATCTTCAAATTAAGTCCTTTGACTTCCTTATATTCTTAGGCATAGCAAATGTTTGGTATGTATGTATGTATGTATGTACGCTGGTATACAAACATAAACTCACATATAAATACATACACAGAAAATTACACCTGAAATGTGCTGTATCCGCAAGGTCACTAAAAATATTAGATGAGACAGGGTAACGAATACCCTTTATTAGAGAGAAAGCTGGAATAAGACCACGTATGGATTGTACTGACAGACAAAGAATGAAATGGTTCAGCCATCTAGTGAGAATGCAGCCAGACTAGACTGCATCTGACACTTTTTACAGTAGAACATCTGGGAGGAAGGTGAGAGAGAGACCAAGAGATGGATGAATGGTGTAGATGAAACCTGTAAAAAGATGAACAAATCCATCACTCTCAGGGGTCGTCCCGGTTATGGGAGTTCAGTATGATGATGATGAATCCCACCAATGGACCCTGCAACCCTTAGCTAAACTCAGTACATGTTTACACACGTAGAAACGTGGGTACTGAACGAAGGTGGGTGAAAAACTCAGCGTGGCTTGTTCAAGGCCGGCGAATTTCACATAGGCTGACCAGCCACGTGGACACTACAACTGGTAATAAAGCTGCTGTGCAAAGCACAGTTCTGGGCTCTCTTGTCTGTAGACTTGTGGTGTTGACTTGATGTGTGACCTGACCGTTAGATTGTGATAGTTTCATTGACAGATCGTACTGACTTGTATGATCGTACCATCGTAGTTATTAGCTGTAATGAGGACGGTTCGTGGTGTGATTAAATTTAATTTAATACGTTACAGGGTAGATAATATGTGTTCCAGTTAGATCTCAGTTAGAATTAGATTTAGGGTAGTAGTTAGACTGTGTCAATAGTTATAACTCATTAAGGTAAACCAGACCATGCATTGTTTGTGGCATTAGCACCTGTTAACACACCTTTGGCCGACACGTGGCGTGTGCTATAGCGTCTTAGGCATCTGGAGACAGCGGGTTAAGTTAGCGCTGTACAGGAGTGTGGTAGTGGCTCAGAGCTTATATCATGAACGCGAAAAGGTGCGTCTAAGCGATTTTAAAGTTAGAAGTGGCCTAGTTTCAGAATAAGGAGCACTACCTCTCCTGAGGTGTTTCACCTCCCAGTTAATTTCTTTGATAATAAGGATTGTGTGTGTGTTTCAACCAGTGTTTGGCTTGGGTGTGTTTGTCTGCAGTGTTTTTCTGTCATTAGCCTACAGCGTAGCCAATAGAATCAAACCCTAAACATTTAGGTTCCTGACAATCACATAAGCCACCCAAGCGCAAGACAAATACAGAAAACCACGACACTAGGCTACAAGCTGGTATCAGTGAGACGATAATAGAAGAAGAAGATACATACATACATATATGTTAAAGCATTTTTGATAAGGTGAGATAAGGAGTGACATCACAGCACTTGTAGCATTTCCCATAAGTGCCCTGTCCCCATCTTCAGTAGTCAGCAGAGACATTCTTAACAGATAAAAGCATCAGTGGAAAATAAATAAAATAAAAAATAGATATGGCAACAATTCGATCAAACAGTATTAAGAAAAAATTAACTCATAAAGAGTCTAATCATTAAAACAAAATTAATTCAAAGATAAACACAAGATAAATAGCAATTTAAGTGTGGAAGAACATAGAGAAACAGAAAAGCACTAGTTAGCATGTGCCATTAGAGTGAGAAATCCAATGTTCTAGATAAACTGCAGGCAAACATAACTGACGAGATGGCACTTCAATGACTAATTTAACACAACTATAACTGCTAGTCGTTGGTGGCTGTTTCCAGTGCACCGTCTCTGATAAATTTCTCCCAGGACTCACTCTCGTCAGTCTTCTTCAAGAACATGACAATCCAGCCATCTTCTGCCTGCAAAAGAAAAACAATCTGTAAGGCTTCTTTAAAATTAAAAAAATTAGGGTAAGGATCGACTTAACTGCCTCAGGTTTTATCCCATATGGTTCAGTCTTTCTCAGCAGTATGGCTATCTGTTACCGAGAGCGTCGCACAAAAGCACAAACAACATAGCTCGGGACATAGTCCCCAAGGGTTTCCCTAAAAATACTGCAGTCATGAACCGAACAACGCAGCCGTGGAATGAACCCGTGTCAAATGGCTTGACACTTTGCTATGGAGACCCTCAAAATAATCTGTTACTCTTGTTCAAGAACATAAAAATCCAGGAAGCTTCTGCAAAGAAAATATGACTTCTTCAAAAACATGACAATCCAGCTAGCTTCTGCCTAGAAAGAACAATTATGTTCTGTCACTTTTCTTCAAAAACATGAACATCAAAACAGCTTCTGCCAGCAAAGAAATAAATAGCCTGTTACTCTTCATCAAGAACATAAAAATTTAACCACCTTCAGCCTACAGATACAATTATCATCATCATCATCAGGTGCCTTGCCGACTGGCGTGGGCGATCATGCCTCTCCATAATCTGCGATCTCCTGCAGCATGTATTAGTTCGTGAGCTGACACACCTCCATGCCATGCAACAAGACTGTCAAGCATCTTCTCTCGTTGTCTTTCTCTATCTCTCCTTCCACAGATCTTTCCAGTGGTCACAACATGTTCTACTTTCCCTCTTCTCATAATATAGCCGAAAAATGATGACTGTCTCCTTCTGATGTCTGTGATACAATAGATACAATAACCTTACATAAAAACTTGTTGAATTGTTGATATCATAAACTTCTATAAGTGCTTACTGTTTTACAGATAAAGTAACCTTCCATAAAAACTTATTGAATTGTGTTGATATCATAAACTTCTATAAGTGCTTACTGTTTTACAAATAAAGTAACCTTCTATAAAAACTTATTGAATTGTTGATATCATAAACTTCTATAAGTGCTTACTGTTTTACGGATACAATAACCTTCCATAAAAACTTATTGAATTGTTGATATCATAGACTTCTATCATGATTACTGTTTTACAGATATCATTAACTGCTATAAGTATAGAGAGATACCAGAAACATCAATGGTAACTTACTGTAGTGAAGCAATACATTTCTATATGAATGTATTGACCGTAGCAAGAAGTGATTTCTAGAAGTATTTACTGCACTGCAGATAAAATAATAACAGGTAGGAACTTACTGTAATGTAGCAATCATCATCATCAATGGGAAATGGTAACCGGTGGACCTTCAGGCAATACTGAGCTCCCTTCATTGCTCCAGCTGTAGCTCCTCTTACATTTAGCTCAAAACTCCTGGCAATTCAAAAAAATAACACATCACCAAATCAGTTTTTGCACAGTACAACCAGGCAGTTTACGCAAATCTTTAAGTAACATGCAACTCACAAGTTTCTGGAATCTCCTCCACATGCTTTACATTTCTTATCTTCCTCTGTCCCATTCTTTTGTTATATGAACCCATTCTATTCCAATTTTTGTGCACCCATTTTTGTCCAAAAGCAAGTATTTTACCTTACACAGAATTGAATATGGTTACTACAAAGTCACAGACTGTGGGATAGAAGAAAAAAGCAAATCATATTCTACTACTAAAAGTGTTAACTGACCATTGTCCACTATTTTACCATCAAAATTACTGCCATCATGTAGGCTTCTTATGCAGCCACCTTTCAATAAAACAGTCTGTAAATGATTTCTTTTAATAGCTATTGCAACATCTCAAGAGGCTAACAGGATTTCCATTGTTATTCCTCAGATTTACACAGCTTAGTTTTTGTTATTTCTGTGACTGCAACTTCACATCATGGTCTGTAGCAAGTCTGGTCTCATAGATAATTTATATTACTTATGGCTGCAAAATGTACTCCATTTACATTCTATAGTTCAAGGTGGACCGATTCCTACAAGGATATCTGAAAATATTCACAAAGAAATACAGTGTTAATGAGGGTGCACACGTTTCTCTTTCATGTCACATGTCCTTGCCCAAACCTGTCAACTGCATGAAATTGTACGGCCACATGATGATGATGTACAACAAGATTAAAAAATTTTTTGTTCTAGGAGATTGTTCTCTACATTCAGTTTCATCATCATCATCATAAACCACTTCTGCCGTTAAGTGTTGTGGGGAGGAATAATTTGTGATCCAGTGCCTGAAATTGAAACATTAAAAAAAAAAAAAAAATCACCTCAATGATATACCAATTAAATTGTAAGTTAAAACACACACACCCAAAATTCTATATACTTTATTCAATGAATATACTCCTTTATTTAGCAGTGGTAGTATAATGCCTAAACACTCTTTTGTTGGACCACAGTCTTGAGTTTTTCTTCTTTTCATTTGTCTGAGTGACATAACTGCATTGTGCTTGCTTACAGCAAAGCTGCAACAATTGCGCCTTTCGGCCGACACATCCTAGGTCGTCGAGCATTTGTTGACAGAGTTAACTTCCTGAATAGTTTCATGGGACAGTTTGTGTGGAGTTTCTTTTGTTCCCTTGTCTACAAATGTTACCCCTGGTGAACCCATCCTTGGCAAATACGTGTAGACTGGTCAGTCCTCAAGGGAAGACGGTGGCAGATCATAGACATTCCCCACTATCTAAGGAGGCTTTCATAAATGCAGTCGATGACACATGATGCTCTAGTCCTGAAGTCACCCAAAGAATCATCATGTCCTGCACATGTCTGCTTAACCTCACATCCGTATGTTGAGCACCACATTTGTCACTGGCTGCCCCCTTTGGAGATCAGCAGGGAGCAGCCCGTAGGTCCGGTAGTTTGATGACCACACAAACAGATACATTCTTCCTCCTCATGTTAGACACCTCTAACGTTGTTTCATCTGGACACTTTGTCATGAAAGTGTTGAGATAGCCTGCATCAGGCATGACTTTCACTTTTGAGTCCCGACACTGGCCTGTGGGACCTTTCTGCCAGTTAGTATGACTTTTTGCAATCAGACATTTGAGACGTTACTGATTTGCCCTAGGACATGTGTCTGACAGACAATTGAGACATATCAGCTGGTTTACAGCAGACTGTCCTTGACCTCAACGGTGGTGATTGACAAGGATGTATGGAGACAAGACTGTACAGCGAGATATGCCTGCAGGAGATGTTTGTCTAAGCTGCGAGCCGATCTCTTGCTCTTAGTCTAGAACTGAATCTCAACTGTTCTGTGGTTCTGTCACTTGACAAACATTTTAACTGAGAGTTGTTTTTTTTTGTTATGCGTTATCACCCATGCACTGGGGGTGGGCTGATGATAGCCAGTGGCTTTCTGGGGGCCACCAACTCCAAGATCCCCTGCCAGCTCATATGAGACATGATCCATGGTTCGCGATGGGTCTAGTCGATCAGCCCATTCATTAGCAATACTTTCCATAAGCGCACTATAATTAGACCACTGGGGGTGGGCTGATGATAGCCAGTGGCTTTCTGGGGGCCACCAACTCCAAGATCCCCTGCCAGCTCATATGAGACATGATCCATGGTGCGCGATGGGGCTAGTCGGTCAGCCCATTCATTAGCATTACTTTCCATAAGTGAACTATAATTAGACCACTATCAATGTTTCCTAACTATTATGCCATCTCACCTCATTATTATTTTATACATGATTTAAGCTAGTTCCCACCTTTTAGTAAATACAGGTACTTCAATTACTGCATTCTTCCCTTCAGGGTGAGGATGTCTGTGTAGTATTTTGTCCATCATACCAGGACCTTTGACTTTCAGGTTGGGAATCTTAATCCTGAGACGTACATATCCTTCTTTGGCATGTTCATCCACACCTGCAGAAATGTGCATTAAAAAAATTAAAAATACTCAACTGAACAAACAATATTCCAAATGTTGGTTATGGGGTCGTCGCATTGCGAAAACAAGAACAGACCCACTGCATCCCTAACAAGCATGTCGTAGCAGTAAACTAACTGGGCGCATCCTTCAAAGTCACAGTACATCTGCTTGAAAGGCACGGAAATGAGAATCTGCTTTCAAATAAGCCAGATCTATGAAAGGGATGTGCAGGCAACACTCAGCTTCTGGAACGAAAACCCAGAATTTTCTGCCAGAGTTTACAGCAAGCAAGAAGAAGAAGAAGAAGGAGCAGAAAAAGAAAAAGAAGAAGAAGAAGAAGACAATGAAAAGCAGGAGGAAGAGAAGCAAGAGGAGAGGAAGAATAAGAAAAAAAAAGGAGAAGAAGAACTAACATTAAGATGAGACTAGAACAGTAAAGGACCCTTTTGATGTCAGTGGCACATCAGGTATATGATGCTAGACTAACAACTTTATAGACCAACAAGCATACTGTGGATGATGTGGTTATCGTTACAATGGCCACATTTACTTCCAATGACATTTTAGGCTGGGTCCATATGGTATCCAGTTCAGATTCTTGAAAAATAGATGGTTGATGCCAATGGGAACTCACATCCAAGAACTTCAGGTGACAGGTGAGCTCCCAGATACTGTGGCTTCCTTGATAAGGCTAGATCATATAAATGTTCCATGGTGCCTTACAAATATAGGCCTAGACCTATATGTCCAATACGCCTGAAGGAGCAGAAAAAGGTCCTTTATTTTACTTATTTCCCTCACCTTCAGCACAAGTGCAGAGTTCCAATTCTGATGGTAGCAGTAATTGTCTGACTGTATATTCGTCTCACCTTCTCCTTAAGTGTTGATCACCGGCCAGATCCCCTGGTCATTCCTCGCAGCAAAATTCTCCTCAGACCGTGATGATTCATCTGTGCCTCTGCACTGTTCACTCACCCCTAAAAGGTCCTTACAACAATTAGCTTGCCATGCATCAATTCACCATCAAGTTGGACAAAACAGCCAATCGATCAATCTGTTCATTTCATAATGCACCAGCATAGAAAAATATATAATAGATACTAGCTACCCAGAAAATACTCTCAGAGGTGGCGGAAGTCACTGGAAGTGTGGAATTTAAGTCGCCGGAAGTCCACAATTGACATGTGACTGAGGCCCTGTTAGGTTATATTTCAGGCCCTGATAATTTGGGACCATTATTCGGAGGATAGCCTGGACTTGGAATGCTTACTGTATCAAACAGTCAGCTCATAAAACATGAAAACATACAGAATGAAGCCATAATTCTGGGATGTCCAAGAGATACACAAGTAGTATGTATGCAATATACACATGCAGTGTTGACTGTTAAAGATAGGCTGAAAGTGCTGCAAGCAGAGTCATATCTCGGAGTAGCCACAGATGAGAAACCTACATGAGGTCCTGGACAGAGCTAAGGATCGAAGACTGAACAGAGGAAGGTCTTGACTGGCATACGCTGAAGACACAATATATACATATAATTACTGATCACGTAAGTTTGTGTGTTTGTCTGAATGTGAACACACAGACATAGATTTAATTTATATATTACATAAAGAGACGGTGAACGACTGGTTGATTAAAGTTTAGTCACTAATCACAACAGCATAAAATGTAAAAAAAGAGCAATACATTCTTCCTTACTATAGTCTGGTTCACTAGCTGCTTCTGCCATCGCTAATTTTGCGTAAGATATACTCTGTTGTGCTTTTCACTCTGTGTTTCTGCTGTCTAGATGTTGTAGCCTCGTTGCTCACAGCTTCACTGTAAGTACTGTAACTAGCAGTGTAACTGTAACTTAATCCGGGAGATGTTTCCGCATTGTAGCCAGCAGGAGTCTAAGCAGCTTGCGGGGGGCAAGCTAATAAAACGGCAACTAAAACTCTCTGGTACACATATAACGATAAGATCGTTCCACGCACACGTTATACAAACTCACGTGCAAGCAATGCAATGATCATTATTTTATTATCTTGTAATCAAGAAAAACCAAACCCAACTATAATGATATAATCTATACTATATTATTAAACTTTGCTGGCAAAATTCAAGAGAAAGTAATTGCCGCTTTTTGATTTGAAAATTTTGAGTGGTGTCCCTTAAATCTGCCAGGATGGTGCAGATTCGTCATGCTCTATTTTTGTCCTATATGAAGATAGAATCCAGGGGATTTTCTTTATTGCACTGGATTTTTTATCCCATTTGGCTCAGCCTCAGAAAGGCTAGCCGCATGCTGAGAGCACTGAACAAAGCACGAACTCACTAGCTCTAGCGACTTCTTCAAGGATAGTCGCACAAATTGCACTGCTCACACATCAAACCACCCACAAATAACATCTAGTTTGCTACGTCGTAACCAGTTTTTCGAGCCCAGGCATAACGGTGCGTTATGGCTATACAGTCTAAGGGGATGTCTGAGATTTCTACTTGTTTGACTCTTATCCTTGAGATTTTGATCCCACAGAATGCGAATCTGGAGAACTAAAACTTGAAAGTAGAAAAACAAATGCACCGGTGAATGAACGCACGACCATCACAGCGCGAGGCAGACGCTTTGATCACATGACCACGGAGATCCTTGAATAATCATAAGCTGGCCTTTCAGTCCTATATTTATCTTTCCAGTCTGTACCGAGAGGTTATGTTTTTTTTTTACTGGAAAAACAAGAACAATAAATTAATAAAAGTACAGTAAACATAAGTTTATTTCGAACATTAGGATTGGATCTGGAAAATGTATACCTGGTGAAAATTGTATTGTGAGCATTTTTTATCTTTCTATTGACATCAACGACTCATGCTAGAAAAGGGACATGTTCATGTTGTGACATTTTAAATAGCACATTTACAGCAAACATATTAGATTTGCAGAGACTGAACTTTAATGGTGATGCTTTCTATAAAAACATTCAATTTGAACTGCCCAACAAGATGTCGTAGGAGTCGACTAACTGACTGACTGACTTTCTACCCCACCAGGACATCACACAAGCGATAAACACCCGATGACACAAAATGCCACCATTCGGATGAGGATCGCCGTGGAGAGGTCCCAGAAACCGCGTTCAGACAATTGGTCATATTTATGGCCTGCCTATGTTGCGGCCATTGGCAAAAGCCAGGGTGGGGCTTCAAAGAACAAAAAATGTTGTCCTAAAAAGGACGAAAGGATAACTTTATAGCAATGTTAACGACTTACTGAGGGGAAAGGGGGAATGTCAAAGTGCATCTGCCTGAGAGACAAGGAACCCAAAATCGGCATACAGGTGTGTAAAACGGATGTGCACACAACACTTAGGTTCTGGAACAAGACTAAGTCTAGAGGTGGACAAATACCCAGAACTTTTCGCCAGAGTTTACAGCCGGTAAACGCGAAGAAGAGCAAGAGGAGACGTACTAAAATGCGCGAAAAAAAAAAAAAAAAGAGAGTTAACTGTGACAAAGTGCTGTTGTCAGTTGTAAGACAACTAGTTATTTCCCATGGCACGGCCAGAATCAATGTTTAGGCATAATGTGTGGGTGTATATGCGGGTGTGTGTATGCTTAAATCGTAGGAGACAAGTGAAATATTTTAGCCACATTAAAAGCCCTTTCAAAAACCACAACTGGGGAGTGGGGAGTGTGGGAAAGTGGGGGAGGGGGGGGGAGGGTCTAAGAAAAGAAAGAAAGAGGTGGACAATGATATTCCTTGAAGGATACTTTCAAGAAAAGGATGAACTTTCAAGACAAGGATGAACAGCAGTCTGAGAGAATACTTTGGGGACACAAAATATGGTGTGTTGAAGATCAACTGCAGCCAACCTTCATTGTGGAGAAGG